TCTTAAATATCTGGCCTCTTGATTTCTCTCCTTGATTCCTTTCCCCTCCCTTCCCCTCCCCCACCCTCTTCTCCCGTCTCCAGTACCGACAACCGTTTTCCAGGCTTCTATATCCTCTAACCTTTCCGTTTCTGCCACAGAGTGCAGACAGACAGTATATATTAAGCGCAGACATGCAATGGATGGAAAAAGTGTGGCACATCTATGCTGCTCTGCCATAGAGTGCAGACAGGCAGTATATATTAAGCGCAGACATGCGATGGATGGAAAAAGTGTGGCACATCTATGCTGTGGAATATTACTCAGCCATAAAAAAGACCCCGGCATTTGATAGAAAGTGGACGAATATGGAAGATTTTTTTTTCCTGCTGAGTGAAGCCAGCCAGGCTATGAAAGAGAAACCCTGAATGTCCCCACTCAGTTTCTACCTCCCCTGCTCTCCCAACAAGGCAGCTACGTGCCAGTCTGGGCCTGGGTCCAGGCAGGGCAGTGGTGCTGCCCACGAGTCTGCAAAGCACAGCTCTGGGACGACAGCGCCAACCGAGTCTCTGGCTTTGCTGGAGGCCAGGCCCCTCCAGTCTGATCCATCTGGGTATCCGGACAGTTGCCCTGGAGCCCGGACCGGGTGGCGCAGACTGTGCTGCTAAGGCTGCCCTGGGCTGCAAGCCTCGGACGATGGCCACAGTGGGGCCACCAGGGCTGAGTCACTGGGAATGCTGAGCTTGCCCTTTCCCTCAGAGCGAGTCCTTGACTCTGGCCTGCCCAGGAATAATGGACCCACCCAGAGCCAGGAAGCGGTTTATGTTGAGCCCTCTCGACATTGGTAGGTCGAGAGGACGCAGTCCGCTTCTCAGATCTGGAACCTGAGACTCAGGTTAGCAAATTCCGGAGGTGACACGATCACTAACGGTGGATCTGGGCTTTGAGCCCGCGTCTCTCTGGTTCCCTGTCAGAGGCCAAGATGCAGCTCAGTGCTTGAGCCCAGGGGATTGCATGAACTCCTCACTGTTTTCTTGAGGGGGTGTCTGGGTTGCTCTTCCTCTTGTAGCCCAGAGGAGGATTCTGGAAAGACTCAAGTGGAGAGAGCTGAGCCCAAGACAGTGGGAGGAAAAGGGAGACTGTGGGCCTGCCGGCCTTCGCTTCGCTGTCTTCCTCCATGGACGGAGGGGTCGGCCATGTCATGGGCGGGCACAGGCAGGCATGGACAGAGGGGCCGGCGGTGTCATGGGCAGGTATGGGTGGACAGTCACTTCTGCATGTCTATGGCATGACCCTGAGACATTCCAGGGCTCAGCTCCCTGTGCCCCCCAGTGCCCTCCCTCTGAGAAAGTCCAGGGCCCCTGAGGATAGTCAGCAAAGGTGGGAGTATTTTCCCAGAACCGATGGGCAAGGATGTGGCTCTGTGCTGGTCGGAGCCACCTGACTAGGTCAGAGTGGAAGAGACTCCCGGCCCTCTAGAAGGCTCAGTGAGAGAAAACTTGCTCCTAAATTGGACCTGCGAACTGGAGTCAGGAATGTGTGTGTGCTGGGGGGTGGCGACTGGACAGCAGGTGTGTCCACGTGTGGGTGTGCACATGCGTGTCCACACAGGGTGTGTGAGTGCATGTGTAGCCAGAGAGCAGACCCCAGTCACCGTCCCGATTGTAACTCCCAGTCACACACATAAAAAGCAAGGAGCTGGAGGCGGAGTGAGTCTGAAGCATAGGGACCCTCTCCCCAAGTCGGGGCTACAGGGCCCTGTGCTCCGCAGTCACGGCCTTCTCCTGTTCCAATGTGCACTGTGGAGTCCCCATGGCTCGTCCTGGGCCAGCGCAACAGGAAGAACAAGGCCACCGACTGACGACAAGTGTCACTGATGTGTAGACGTTGCCCGGCTCTCCGGCTCTCTGCGTGCCAGGGCCACGCAGTGCCACCCAGGTGCCCCACGCCTGTCTCTCCATGTCAGCACAAGGTTAGCAAGTGATCGCTTCCTGCCACAGATCGGCTTCAAATTGTCCTTCGTTTTATGAAGCAACGGGCCGGGGAGCTGGCAGATCTGCTCCTGATATCCTTACTTGGAAAAACCATCACCACCATCGACACATCACGGCCGCTTTACTCGTCTGTGAAATTCCAACGACCAGGACTCCTAGTTACAATTCCCTGCTGCTGCCCCACGGGAGGAAGGGAAGAGTGTGGAAACTGAGTCAGGACTCCACTGACTCCTTCAAATCAGCAGGCACCTGCTCTGCAGGATGGGAGAGAGCCCCCGTCTTCTCGACAGGTGAAGAAATGCCCAGCGACTGAAATCCATCTTTCCTAACAGGACCTGTCGTCTGTCGGCGCTTTGGCACAGAGCTCGGGAAAACAGCCTGGACTCCGTGCATGGCAACAAAGGCAATCTGCTCATAAAACCAGCGGCAGGCAGCCATTCCCGCAGGGATCCGGATCCAGAAAGGAGAGGGCAGAGAGCGCGATTCCTCCCGGGATGGCCTGAGCCTGTGAGTTTGTTTACCCCTAATCGCTATGCAAGAATAAATTAGAACAACAAATGCATCCTGCCTGGCAGTGGTGACACCAACCCTGTAAATAATTATAATTTAATCTGCGAGCAAAGAGTTCTGAATGACTCCCCTAACGATTTCCTCTGCTTAATTCCTTCCCCACTGAGTGACTTAATAGGAAAAGGAATACGCTCTCGGATTTGTTTCACTCCAGAAGTCTGGACAATGTGCAGACCCACACCTGGAGGGCGGAAGCGGCAGGAGGCCATGTGGCCCACAATAAACAAGTGAGGGGAAGAGGCCTGGGGACTGGAAGGCAGGAACTGGGCTCCCGTCCCCAGAAACTTGGGTACAACCTAGCGGAGACCTGGTGAGTAAGCTATGCCACGGCCTTACAGGGGACTGCTACACAGCCAGGAATAAAACCATCAGAGCGCACCACCATGGCTCAGAAGACAGGCTTTGCAATCAGATTAACCTGGGGCTGAATCCTAACTGTGACCTCGAGCAAAGAGCATAACCTCTCTGGGCCTCATTTTTGTCCTCTGTAAAAAAAAAAAAAAATGAAGAAAATGCTACCTACGCCATAGTTTTCATGGTGATGAGATGAAATTACAGCTGCAGAGGGCTTAGAACCGGCCTGGTACACACTGGAAGTAAATGTTCAATAAATGAGATTATTATCACACCTACTCTCATTTGGAGGCATCTGTAATGATGTAGGAGACATTTTCATAACAGAGTGCCAAGCTGAAAACATGCATAGACTAAGATCCTAATTTTGTAATACTAAAATCTGCCCAAGCAGCCAGCTAGCTTGATCTAGGCCACGCCAAAGAGGAGCACATCCGAGTATGAATACGTGCTATTCACTTCTCCCCGCCTTGGTATGTTTTCCAAGTTTTCTACAATGAGTTCGGGTATCAGGATTACAGCCGTAACACAGGTATTTTACAGAAAGAGGCAGGTGGTCTGCTGACCTTCCGGCTGTGCGGGTCACTGGGCTCCCAGCTCAGAGAGGCCCCTCTGAAGTCTCACCCCCTCTCCTAGCTGGAATCGCCAGCCATTGTCCTGCACTGGTTCACAGGACACCCACCTCCACGGCGCGGCTTGATCTGGCTCACACATGCTTCTTAGTTCTCCCGTCAGGGAGATGATATGGCCAAGCGTATGACACCAAGGCTCTGGCTCCCAGGCCTGCTGGCCCTCTCACTGCAGCAGAAAAGATTCCCCAGGTACCATCGGTTCCCGAATCCAAGTCTCTGAGTGGGAGGAGCCCACCCCTACCCCTCTCAGACCATCACACTGCCTCCCCCCACAGGCTTGTGTGACCTTCTCACTGCTGTGGCTTGTGAATTTGTCCCAAATTCACGTGTCGAGGTTTGACTGTGAAGGCACTGAGAGGACTTCTGACACCTGCGTAGTACAAGGTGGAGCCCGTGGGAGGGGATTAGGGTGCGACCTCCATGACTCCTGGCAGGTTTACAGGAGGGAATAAGACAGGGACTCGCAGACAGAGCCGGGCTGCTCTCGTCCTTGTGGGGTGAGGCCTGGGACCCAGCAAGATGCCCCAGAAGTGGCCCTTGGGCCTTAGGCCTCCCAACTGCGTGCTGAATAACTGTTCTTTTAAATCACCCAGTTTCAGGTACTGTCGGCTATCTGCTATGGCATGGACTAGAGAACTCACCTAAAAGAAGCGCTCCTTAAAGGACGTCTGACTGGACCGGTGCTTCTACCACCACGAGGCCTGGCCGGCCCACTTCCACCCTCACTCGGGACCCTCGGTGACACTGCCCCGTGTGCCACGCCCGCCTTCACCATGGCCAGGCTTCCCCACGCTGCCAGAAGCACACCGGGTACACCCTGCTGCTGGCTCCTGATGTGCCGATGAAGGTCGCCGGACAATTCATGCTGGTAATGCAGCCACACGCCAGCACCCGACAGGTCTGTCCACCGACAGGAAGCTGGCGCTTCCCTAAGCGGACCTCGCCTTGGCTGCTCCATTAGCCCGAGCCTGGAGATGACCAGCAGAGGCCGGGACATCTTCCTCCAGTCACCCTTCCCTAACCGTCACAACCCGGCCTCCATGGGCACCCCGTGGAGGAGCTCCCACTCTGCAACAATGCGGACGAGAGGGAGAAGCCTGGGCCTTCCTTCGGCCCCGAGGCGCAATGCCTTTGGACGTTTCTCACAAAGCAATCCCCACCTCCGGTTGTGGCCCCTGCGCTGGTTGCCATCTGTCTTCCAGAGCAGAATGACATTCCCAGTCATTTTCCTGAGCCCTGTGCGTGCCCCGACCCTAGGACATCTTTAGTCCTCGCGCAAGTCACTTGACCAAGGCCCGCCATCTAAGTCTGAGCCAGGACATCGAAACCTCGGCCTGAACATTACGGTGGTGTCTCATTACGGTCCACGGAGAGACCCCATGGTGAGTGTGAGGGCAGAGGCCCTCAGCCTCCGGGTGCACAGCAGAGGACGGGGTGGGAGGAGGAGGACGGAGGAGGGAGGGGCGCTTACCAGAGAGAGGAGCCTTCGGTCCCCGTGACTTCCAGGAAGTCGTACCCGTCCTCCAGCTGGAAGTCATTGAAGACCAGCGCGATGGTGTCCCCCAGCTCGGCCAGGACGGTCCACGTGCAGTCCGCGTTGTTGTGGTACTCCGAGGGGAAGTGGGGGCTGGAGATGATGCCGCTCTGGCCCCGCAGGGTCCCACCACAGGCGTCGTCCGCTGTGGGCACAGAGACGAGAGGCTCATGGGAGCTGTCTGGCTGCCAGGCCCTGGCTTCAGCGTGGGCTTTGCCCATGAGGGGTGGAAGGGGTCCTGGAACACGACGCACAGGCAGCTCCAACAAGGCCCCGTGATAACGCTGCCAGACCCTTCCCGGGCCCCGAGCAGCACCAGGCACTGTGCTGAAAACTTCAGGTGTTACGGTTTTTACCCAGCAGCTAAAAGCAGCCACGGCTCAGAGAGGAGAAGCAGCCCGCCCTGGGTCACTCTAATGACTGGCTAGTGACCGTCGGGGCTAATGTCTGAACTGTCCCTAGAGAGCGTGCTCTTAATTGCTCCGTGATGACTAGGCAGGAGGAGAAATCAGCTGTTGCTGTCACATTGATTTCATGGTCATGACTGAGGTGAGGAGGTTTCTTCCTACTCGACCTTAGTAAAGCTCATCTGTGATGAACACAAACACAAAACAACTCAACACAGCTCCTGGGGGCAAAACTCAAAGGGTGTTCCAGGCCAGCTGTTTCAGGGCTCTGCGTCTCTGACCTGCCCCCGGACGCATCCTTCCCTCTGCCTGGGGTGCCCTCTGTCCAGTGCAGCTCTCCTTACGTGTCCACACCCAGCTCCAATGCCCCCTGTTGGAAGTGCCAGATTCCCTCACGTGTTCAGTACCTGCTCCCTCCTGAGCAGGAAGAGGTCTGCCTTCAGATTCAGAGCTCCACCTGTTCACGTCTGCCTTCCCTCGAGCCACCAGGAGCCCCAGAGGCAGGACCCTGTCTAAATGTGCACACGACTGGACCTGGGGCAGTGGGAAGCTCCAGCCCTCGGTATGCAGAGGGGAGAGATCCCAGGACTGTGCTGACAGTTGAACACTGGGTTCGAGGGACTGGGACCTCCATCCCTTATTTGCTGGGTGACCTAGGGAAAGTGACCTGGGTTCCTAAGCCTGCCCTCCGGGACCTTGTACGCAAGTCATACATACACCATGGCACGTGTACACCGGAAGAGGGACTAAACCGTAAAGAAAAGACAACGCAGCGTCAGGGCACTGCACAACGCTAACGACAGCTGGTATTGATGGAGCACTTACAACCCAACAGGCGCACTGTGGGCACCCTGAGTATTTCGTTTTATCCTTGCTATGACTCTGTAAAGGACCATTCGCAGGGGAGGAAACAAGTCCCAAAGAGATCCGGTCACTTGCCAAAGGTAACGCGCTCATAATGATGGAAGGAGCGAAGTTCCCAGCCCTGCTGCCTGCTTCCAGGGCTTAGCTCTTACTCAACACTCTTCCGCCTCCCAAGGATACAATTTGTACCTTGGGGACATAGATAAAGCAGCAGATAGTTGTACTTGGGTGAGTCAGTCTGGGAAGACTTTCTGGAGGAAGTGCCATTAGAGCTGGGTTTTGAAGGACAAATAGGAGTTTACTCATTAAAGAAGCAAAGGAAAGGCATTTCAAGCTGAGGGACCTTAATGTGCATACGCATAGAAATACAAACGTGCAAAGCATGTCACTAGACAGCTGTAGGTGGCGCATCCCGGGTGCATGCAGAGGAGTGACAGGTGGCGGTAAGGGAAATGCAGAAGGGGACAGAGCAAAGAGGATCTGGAAATGGGAATGAATTGGAAAGAAAACGGATCTCAGGGCCAGGAAGGTCTAGATTGGACGTAAGTGCGTCTCCCAGCCGTGTGCGTGACCTGGGGCGACCCATCTCTCGAAGCCCCAGCTTACTCCCCCATGGGACGGTGTGCTGATAACCGGGTGGGGCGACGCAAGCGTGCCTGCACTGGCCAGTGATGGACATCTAGTCAGATAAATGCTGAGTTTGCCCGGGCGGCAGCTGTGGCTGCGCAGGGCCGGTGTCAGGCCAACACAGGATTCGTAGGAGCGGCGACAGGGCCGGTGCTCCCGCGGGGCGCCCAGGGCTGGGGTCAGGCCAACACAGGATTCGTAGGAGCGGCGGGGCTCGAGATGAAGAGCTTCACTCCAGGGGCTCTGGGCCGGCTCCATCAACGCCATCCCACAGGGTCAGGAGAGCCGCGAGGCCGGCTCTCAGGGCCGGCTCCCTGGTACGCTCAAGAGCAGGGGTGGAAGGCCTTGCCCACAGTAGGTGCCCTGAATGTCCCCCCACACCCAGAGCTGAGCACCCCCTGCGCCAGACACCGGCTGGATCAGCCCTACGGGTCAGGGGCTTCCTGCCCTCGGTGCTTCTCTGAGACTGGGGGCGGGGGGGAGAGCAGGTGAACGGGCAATGGCAGCACAGGGCCAGCACAGTGGGGGACTCGCGGCACTATGGTTTCCACGGGAGGCCTGGAAGGCTTCATGGAGGAGACGTTTCTGTTGAGACATTCATTCATCTGTTCACTCGACAAAGGCTCTTTGAGCGCCACTGTGTCTCAGGTCTTGCTTTATAAGAGACGCTGGAGATTTGGCCATAAAAACACGCCCCCCTACTCTCACAGGGCGTGATTCTGGCGAGAGGGATAGGCAAGCCCAGGGGAAACAAACGCTCTGTGGCACACGAGGTGGCGGTAAGCGCAGGGGACGGGGCGCTGCCCCCTGTGCCGGGAGTGGGGCCGTGGGCATCTCAGACGGGGCGGGGGGAACTCGCTGAGAAGTTGATATTTGAGCCGGGGTGTGAAAAGGAAAGAAAGGCGTCTGTGGTTGTCTGGGAAGAGCATCTGAGGCAGGGAGCAGCAAACGCGAAGCTGGGGACGCAGGGTCCAGCGCTCTTCAAGAGCATGGCGAGACCCCAGGGCTTGGAGAGCGGGGCAGGGGGGTGGGGGGAAGCGGTAGGGACGAGGTCGGCGGGGCTGGGCCGGGGGCCTTGGAGGTCACTGTAAGGAGGCTGGCCTTTGCTCTGGTGAGATGAGACGCCAGCGGAGGCTTCTGAGCAGATGGCATGGCCTGCCGTGTGTATGACAGGATCCCTGGGCTGCCATGCCCACCCAGGCCCGAGAGGCCGGGGGCAGAGGCAGGGAGAGGGGTGGAGCTTGGACTGGGTGGCAGTGGGATGCAGTCAGTCGGCTGCATGTGGAATGCTGAGCCGGCAGGACAGACTTCACCAGAGGGCCACCAGCTGCCACCCACAGGGCAGAGCTGTCTTAGGCCAGAGCGAGGCCCGAGGGTGAGCGTGGAGGACTGTGAGCGTGCAGGGCAAGGCGGAAATGATGGCCAGGCTGGCCGGGAGGCAGGAGCTGCCCTGGGAAGCCCTCGCGTGCCATGGAGGAGCTGCGGCCTGCCCTCCTCCTGTCCTCCTCTGCCCCCCAGCCCCAGCCCCAGCCCAGGAAAGGGGACGTGAGGGGAGGCAGGCGTGCTGGGCCTGGCAGGGCCCTAATCCAGCCTGGCGGTGCAGCTACGTGGACGATCAGGCTGCACGGCGCTTCCACGCAGGTCCGCGGCAGGGCTATGTAGTGACACAGAGGCAGTCTGTCTCCTGATGTAAATAAATTCACCGTGCACACCACCAGGGAGATCAGCCGCAGGAGCCCGTCGGCACACAGGTGCCTTGTCACAGTCACTCCCAGCAAGCACTAGGCCTGCTGCTCCCAACACTCCTGCCCTGGCCCTGTCAGCCCAGGTGGGACAGTCTGCGGTCCCAGCCACTTGCTAAATCTCAGCTGCGAAGGGCGGGCCATGGAGCCCAACCCTTGAGCAGTGTGCTGGGGGAGAGGAGAGAGGGGGCCGGGCAGAGGACCAGGCAGGCAGGGGCCTGGGTGACAGGGCGAGCTCAGGAGTGCCCATGCCCACTGCGATAAAGGGCAGAGCTGCAGGGTCTCCATGGGAAACGGCGGGCAGGCGTCAACTCAGAAAGGAGGCCCTGCCGGCCTTGCTGGGGGGTTTGGATTCTGCCCTGCAGGTGCAGGAAGCCGGGGTAAGCATGAGAAGAGGGTGCTCAGCAGGAGTAAAAGCCCAGACCTGTTTAGAGAGACAGCTGTGGGCCCTGAGGAATGGACAGAGGGTGTGGTTTGTTGGAGACCAGAGACATGGGCAGGGCAGAGGTTGCTCTGACCACCAAAGCCCAAGCAGGCAGTGGCAGTGGGAAGAGGAAGGGATGCAGGAGGACTGGGAGTAAACGGGGACCCCTTCCTCCAGGAGAGGCAGCTCTGAGGGTGATGGCCTGGGGTGGTAAGGTTGCAGTCGGGGAGGAAGCGTTCCAGGGTGGAGCGGGCTGCCGGCAGAGTGGGTGTTACGGAGCAGGCAGACGCAAAGGCCCCGGGAGGAGGGGACAGGGGAGTGTGGGGATGGTGCTTCTAGAGCGGGGAGGCAAAAAGGGAGGCAGTGAGGCTGCCCCAGGGCAAGGGAGCCGTGGAGGGCTGAGCCACTTGACTCGCCTGGAGCAGTGTCTACCTGGGGGCCTTGGCCACGACCCACGTCATCTGGGTGGCTGGACTGGAGGACAGCAGGGAATCCAGAGGGGTAATGGGACTTGGAGCGATGAGAATGACCCACAGGCTCCTCCCACCTCCAGGCTGGACGGTGCACACCGTCGCAGACTCCTAAGCCATCCCTCCTCCCCCCTCCTCCCACCCACCTGGCCGTCTCCCCGGGTTCCTCTTGGGCAGTGTCAGGGCTGTTCACTCAGTTCCTCACGCCAGAGGCTCTGGGCACCCCCAACTCCTCTCGCACCCCACACCCAATGGGTGACCCAATCCTGTCTGTCCTAAGCGGCTCCAGGTTCTGTCTCTCGCCTTTGCCGCTGTCCTAAGCCTTATTCTGCCCCAGGCTGCAGCCTCTGCGAGGCCTCCCGCCTGGTCCCCAGCACCCCTACCTCCACCAGCCCGTCCGCTCTGCACGCAGAGTCATCATGATGCTGCGGGCATGGCCCTGGCCCCCACTCATGAGAACTCCCAGTGACTCCCACTGTCACTCAGGATGGAGCAGAATACCCTGAGGCTCATAGGGACCTCCCAGGGCCTTGCCTGGTACCAGTCCCTCGCCCACCCTCCTGCCCACGCCATGCTGACCCCTCACTCTGCCCAAGGGCCTGCTCTCTGGG